CAAAACGGGGGACCCTGGGCGTGCGCGTTTCCTGTAATTTCAGGGCTGGCAGAAACCTCCGGCATACGTACTGTCGAAAAATCACTTCGTAATGTAGAAAAAAGAAAGCAAAACAAACACAAAAATACCAAAAATGCCAAAAATGCCAAAAAATACCAAAAATACCCAAAGAAAACAAAAATACCACAATACAAAAACACAAAAATACCAAAAATACAAAAAAACCAAAAAATCAAAAAAAAACAAAAACAAAAAAAAACATTATTTGGTGACTATTGGAAAAAGGTCTTCCAATTGGAAGAGTTCCTGACAGTTGGTTTTTTTGGTATTTTTGTTTTTTTGGTATTTTTGGTATTTTTGTTTTTTTGTATTTTTGGTATGTTTGGTATGTTTGGTATTTTTGGTATTTTTGGTTTTTTGGTATTTTTGGATTTTTGGATTTTTTGTATTTTTGGTATTTGTTGGTATTTTTGGTTCTTTTGAATTTGTTTCCTACAGTGGAGTTGGCGGCAAGCCCTAAAGCCTGCGAAAACGCGCGTGCCCAGGATCGGCGCAACCCACAAAGGGACAATGCACTCTCGCGGACATGACGTTCGCAGATATGCATATGTATACATATGGGTACACTAACTACTCCAGCTGCTATATTATAGCACTGTCACCATTGTAGGCTAGTTGGCAATTTTTGGATACAACACTCAATTCTCCATCAAATTCCGATTATATCACAATAGAGTTGAATTTTTAAGTAAGCATTTGCATATACAGAGGTAAAGACCACTGCGCAAGCACTTTCCATATTGATCCTTGGGTACAAGAGATGAGTACTTAAAATATTCATGGTCATGTTTTCGGCATCTAGCTAGGGTATAAACTATTACAAGTACAAAGTATGTGTATGAAATATATGTGGATATCTGTAAATACGCGTATGTGGGCATTTGCTTTTGAGATGTATGTACAAATATAAAATATAAATATAAACAAACAAATAAATATATGTATATATTTATTTGAAGAGAGTCATGGGGTGTATACTGACCTGTATTCTGAATCGTAAGTAGGCAGTTGAAAATACACTCATTACTCGAGTTTTATCTGCTTATTTCATGATGTATTTATTGATCTGCCTGTTTGTTCTTGAAATATTAATTCGTCAAGGCTTCAATTACTACAAACACATGTTAATGGAGTACCAACCAGAAGATTCAAATTTTTAATTTCATCATTACGATGATTCATATTCGCATATTATTTCTTGTATGTAGATGTTTACATTAATTCCGATCCTTATGACACCTAAGCTTTAATAATTGGACGCACATGTATACAACATATACAACACGTAAGCAAACATACTCCAGGTTAAATACTCTGATAATATCGCATAATTGAATTGTCTTCCCTGATATTTATACATGTGTTTAAAGTTTATCCGTTTATCTTTCTCTTAATTGACATTCATACTATGTTTTGCTTTCTCCTAGTCATAGAGCTATAATTAGAACATAACAAATTCATATACGTATCCCTTGTACATTCTGTTTACTTTTGTGCGTGATAATGTACCAAGCGAAGGTTAAATAGGCGAATGTTGTAAAAGTCTCGTATAAATGTCATTACACGTGTCTATAAAAAGACTTATAGACAGATGTGAGGTTTAGACAACAAGAGAGTACCGTTCATAATACGCACAGAGACCTGAATATTTTACACAAGGAATGGGGAAATGGTGCCACATGTATATACACATACCAATGCAAAGGGCCAAGTTTGTTAACCAATGTAAGGGTAAATGAATATGACTTCCATATACTCACGCACGGAGAGAGATAGAGAGAGAGAGAGACATATATATATATATATACACATGCATATAAAGAAGCTTCATACATATTTTTATATATACACACATAGATAAAGAATCCAAGATCGAAAAGCGGAAAACAACGATACTAGTGACAGGTAGTTGTGTATACATATATATATATATATACACATGTATATACTGGATGGCGCAACGAAGTCGTTCCAGTTTCCCTTGCTTAGCGTCGGGAAAATCCGCAATAGATATGTTTGTTTGCTAGCGGCCGATCCGTTTTCAAGGGCCGTGTCTCTAGTCGCTAGAGCTCTAGACTAGACACATAATCATAACCAACAACTCACTTGCCACAAAAATGGCCGATTCATAGCTTAAGCATTCGTGCGAAGATGTATTTACACATGATCGAACATCAAAAACAGTGCACACCCACAGTCCCCCGGACTCTTTTTGAAGGGGTTAGGAGCAGGTTTAGGGGGGTAAGAAGCCGGGCAACAAACATAGACTCTCATCATAGCACTACGGCACTACGGATGCTTGCATGTATCTCCGCGGAAGCTTCCGATAAGTTAAGGCTTCAGGGCGTCACGTTCCATGTCTCTAGCAAGCCCCAGAATGAGCCAAGCCCTGAATGCAAAACTTCCCCCCCACAAATTCGAAACCCTGAACCCCAAAGCTCTTTTCGCAACAGGCCTCGTTGTCCAGCAGCCCGGTCTTAACAAGCCCTAATTCCCGAAGCCTAATTGGGGGTTTCCAAAAATAGGGGACCCTAATATAGTACCCTAAATAATAGGCTCCCTATTATAAGGACCCCAAAATAAGGTACCCTAATTTTCGGAAACTCCCAATTTGCTCCCGAGATCCTCAAGGCCAGGGGCTGTAGGCGTGGCGCAGGTACGTCTCCGGGCGGTCGGGCCACTCCCATCCTTTCCGCTCCTTCGTGAATTTTCGGGTTTCGACTCACACACTCGCAACTGCAGGCATGGCAATAAGTGTCCGAGGTGTTTAGGGCTTAGGGCAAAGCTATGTGACCTGAAACTATTTGAAGGTTCGGGTGCTTCTTCGAAAAGGTGGGGACTACAATGGCTTAGGTCTTCAGAACCTTGCATTTGGGTGAGTGCTTGGGGCCGACAGATGCGCCTAGGCTGAACCTGAAACTGCCCCCTAAAGCCGGGTGATGTAGGGGCCTGAATAACTAAAATAGGGTTTTGGGGAGGATTATACTATAACTATAATGAGGAACCCCCAAAACAATGTAGGTAATTATTTAGGCCCCTACATTGATGACAGCAAGCTGGACTTCTAGAGCCGTCTTCTGCAAGAAGACAAGTCCACCGCCACAGCACCACCCTCCCTGCGCCGTCCTTCTCGGCCTCCAGCGTTTTCTCAAGGAGCCGTCGAAGACCTCGTGTTCCGGGGAGCGGGCAGCCCTACCATCTTTCTTACTGGGAGGATCATGGGACTTAGTAAGTAAGGTTATAAGTCCCTTAATTGGGGTTGTCAGTAAACATAAGTATAGTTACCTTAATTACAACCTTACTTGCTAAGTCCCATGATCCTTTCAGTATGAGCCTGCAATGCCTGCAGAGCTCTCACAAGGTCCAGGAGACGTCCGCAGGCCCTACACACACTAGACTCGTCACTAGACCTTGGCTGGAGATGGCTCTGCAGCCGTGTGAACCCGAAAACCTTAAACTCCGAGAAACCCTCAACCCCGGAACGCCTTGAACACCCCCGTTACCAACCTTTAACCCGTCTTAACCCTTGAACCCTTTGAAACCCCTTGATTCACTAAACCTCCAGTTTCCCAGCTTGCAACCCAAAGGGCGCTTTGGCGGAATCACAGAGCTAGGCATCTCCACCGTCAGGTTGGCAGCCTGCTGCGCGCGTGCCACCACCTCCTTCATCTTCTCCTGGCAAGGGATGTGCATTTTAAAGTCTTTGGTTTTCGGGTTCCGGCTATTGAACTGACCGAAGGCTGAAACCTTCTATCATCCTTGCTTTCGGGGTTAGGGCACGTTAGGGCGTGGCGTTGGCCCTAAGGGTTGGAGGTAGAGTAGGGTGAGCGCTACTGGTTCTTTCGGGCATATCGTCGTCCCTTCCTTTGTTTTGTGCAAGGATAGGAGAGCAAGGTGCTCATAAATCGTCGCAACCTGCCGAAAATACCCGATAACACTTGTCTAACATCATTGGACCTGGCAAGAAGTTGAGCCTTAAACCTCGCACCTTCGGACACTTTGGGACAATGAAAGACAAGATAACATGGAAGTCCTGGCAACAGTTCGCCAAACTGCAGTTGGTCATCCCTGTACACCGGGTGCATAATCTACCGCATGCCCCAAAAAGTCCGAGCCTCAGATTTACATGCTTCCATCGCTGCAATCACTGCGGAATTCGATCGCTGGCAGGGCCTCCACCCTGAATGCTGGACTCTGGTGCCCTTTCTGCTTCAATACAGAACCTTCATAACACGAGGTCTGGTGGTGTCCCCCACTAAGGCTTAAAGGAGAGCTTGTGGGCTTCTTGACCCCCTGAATCCCTTGAGCTCCAGGCCCCACGAAGCCCCAAACTCCAAGCTCTGGGCCAACTACGCGAGACCCGGAACCTTCACTTCCAGCCCCATAGAGGTCGCCGGACTGAAGTTCGATGACGCCCAATCTCTAGAGGCACACAGACCACACAAAGTCGCATCCAAAAGGGCCGTCATGACACCCGAAGCTGGAAACGAAACCCTACAGTACTGCCAGCCATTAGCAATAGCTTGCCCTTATGAACACCTGTCTACGCCGCACAGGGGGGCTGCTCGGTCCTGGTAGGGAAGGTTGCAGAGGTTGGAGTAGGTGATGTACCCACGAGCAAAGAGCTCCTTCCTCAGACAGGAGCTTTTTTAGGTCGTTTACGACAAGTCAATAAACCCTAAACCCTAAACCCTAAACCCTAAACCCAAGAATTAGGGCTCTGACTTATGCCCCAAGGCTCTCCGGGTTCTCTTGCGATTCGGCGCTGGGGGTTTGCTAGGCGCACCGTGGCTCCTCAGCACAAGCCCCCTGAACGGTAAACCTGAAAGCCCTAAGAAGTCAGGGTTTAAGCTGAAGCACGAGACCTGAAGCCCCATATCCGAAAGATCCCCCGTCTATGCCACAAACCCAAGCATACAGTACAGTGCAATTGGGAACATACCGTCGGATCATGTCCTTGGTCTTCTAAACACCAAAATTGAAGCCCCGGTCCTTATCCACCCTCAAGAAAGAAGCAAGCCCCGAAGAGCCAACCACGAAGACCCCAAAGCCCCAATAAACAAACTCTGAAGCCCAAACTCCCGAAACCTGAAAGCCCCTGCAATCCAGCCAAGGCTCATCTGTGAGTGCATGACTTGCCGGAGGGTGCTGTATTCTGCGATGGTGGACCTGAGGTTGCATGGTCAGTGCTGAGACCTCGGGGTTTGGGGTCTTGGGGTTTGGGTTTAGGGTTTAGGGTTTTAAGGAATGTAGGCAAAATTGGAGTTTGGGTTTAAGGAATTGCTTAGTTTAGGTCCTCAGGCTTCCGCGAATCAACAAAAGAGATCCCGCGAACTGCAGGGCGCCAGACTTAGGCGCCAGGTGGAAAGAGGGCTGAGATGAGCCGTAGGTTCCAAATCCTGAAGCCACAACCTTCACGGAAAGACCTCAGGTTTTGGGACTGAAAGAGCGCAGGGTCTTGCAAGCAAGTGGCACCACGCAGGCCTCTTTACTGGTCAGCTTCTTTGTGCGGTCCTTCGGCACTCCAAGGCGCACAAGCTGCAGGAAACAGCTGGCGCCGTCGTGGATCCTTGGTTTTTGCGGAGCCCTGGAGGTAGTACGGTTTAGGATTTAGGCTGTAGATCAACGAAACACCCCCAATCCTGCAGTAAGTCTTCTTGTAAGGCGCACCATGAACCCAAACCCAAAGCCTCAAACCTCAAACCTCAACCAAGGATCTGCAGTGCCCAGGAGGGATCGTAGCGAAGCACCTGCCGCTCCTGCGCAAACACAGCAGGGCGAGACACAGGCTTGAAATGGCCATTTCAAGTCAAGCTTCACAGTTTAGGAGGCTGGGTCTATCGGGTTTAGCGGTCTGGGGATTGCGTTTAGGATTTACGGTTTACGGGTCGGAAGTCTCGGAACCGGGCCCTAGCCCAGCTCCCCGGCCCCCCACCTAGCTAGGACGAAGCCGCATTGCAGGGTACAGTGAGAAGAATGCCAGAGCTCCACGCTGTCACAGTTTAGTTGGTAAATTGGGTTTTGATACACACTCTCTGCATGCCAACCGTTTTTGAGCCTCCTGCCTGACTAGTACGAAGCTACAACGCCTTCAAGACGGCTTAGGGAGGGGCTAGAGAACGGTTAGAGTTTCAGTTTCGGGTCGAGAGGAGTTGAGTGGGGTAAGAGGAAGGGGGTGCGGCTGATGAGTTCAGGGTTCAACGGTCTTGCAATCTTCATGGGGGCGGAGCGCACACTGTTTGCGAAAGCCTTGGCCATAATCAACATAAACATGAAGATCTCACAACTAACTAGGGTTCATAGAGGGTCCCTTATCCACCAAGTGTGAAGCCCCCTGTGCTCAGGATACTTTTTGAGCCCCTAGGGCCCTGCCCGGCGCCTGTACGGTTCGCCAGAAGGGGTCCTCCTGCCAAGACTGCGGAATGATCACCTGGTCTTTCGGCACCTGACACCTGCGGCGTGTCGGGCTTATGGGCGATTGAAGCCCGCGTGGATTTCCGAGGCTGGGCTCGATATTTCCGGCGGAAGGCTTTTTGCACAAGAGCTCAGCTGTTTCAAGTTGGGAGGGTTGGGGTTCCTTTCTCGACTAAGGTGCCCTCCGAAGCCCTCGGAAGATGTTTCGACTGGGGTTCCATCCATTTCGATCCTGCTTGCCGCGGCGGTATTACATTTGCTGGGGGAGGTTTCAGGCCAGAGGACTGGAGCTTGTGAGGTTTGGATTTGGGGCCTTTGTGCCGAAGCTTCGCAGTGATGGGGCGGGGTGGGAGCGTAGCACGCAAGCCCTGCCCAAGCCCGAATCAATGAACAGACGGTCTGGAGCATCTTGTGCCACGACTCACTCCTGAAAGCACCAGACCAAAAACATCCAACAACTGTCCTACACAGGTTGAATGTAGAGTTCGAGTTAAAGAAGCCGTTCTGCCCTCTTGCCAAAGTAAAACTATTTCGTGCCGGGATCCTACAGGAACCACATCCTTCCAGGGTAGGTGGGAGCCCCTCTTTGCGAACCTAAATACTAGGATCCCCATCCTAAGACCCCACAGAAAAAGCCATACACAAACGGACTTCAGGGATGAGGATGTAGGGCTCAAGTGCTTGATATCGGGTTTTGGTGTATATTTTACTATAGTTATAATCAGGAACCCCCAAAATAATAGAGGAAATAATATAGGCAATTTTTAAGGCCCCTTTATAGGGCGGTTTGGCTTTTGCTGTGTTTCACGTGTTAGGCCTGGGTGATGGTCAACGTTCTGCTGAAGGTTATAGCACTGGGATTGCCAACAGTGTCTCCCATGAACGACGGCCACTTCGCACACACTTACTTTAATTGACAAGATCCTGGTAGCGAGTATTCCCTCACCCGCGGGAATGTTAGCTCATACACAGATTCTAAGTGATTATAGTGAGGCGTCAAGCATCGATGCTCCGTGGACAGAGAGCTCTGACACACTGACACACTGCCCTGCGGGGTGTGGGTGATTATGGGAGGACATGTCCAAGACAATGCAGGAGATGCTTGCATGTCTTCATGCGCTCATTCCCGAAACTTCCAGCTCATGGATTCGTGTTCTAAAGTGTCGACTCACAAGGCCGGCAAGGCTCCGCATAGTTCTAGGGTCCAGGGTTCAGAAAACTCGGCACTCTCCCTCCAGAGTATATAGGCTATGTAGGATTTTGATTTTGACGGATTTGGGTTTGGGGCTTAGGGGGGAGTTCAGGGTGTCCCAGATCATCCGAGGGGCAGGTCGAGGCAGGCCCGCATGGACGGGGCCCTCTGCAATGCCGGCACGTCCTCGTCGCCCTCCGGGAGGGCAGCCTCATGCTCCTCCACGGCCGCCTGGTTCTTTTGGCTCTTTTGTCTTGGGTGCTTGCGGGCGCAACAGGCCCTTAGTGCTTTTTGGGGACAGGGTACTATAGGGGGATTTACTGTATATAAGGCTTAGGTTGAAGACTTTAGAACTTCTTGGGCCGAGGGGTGAAGGCTTGGGCTCGGAGCTGCCTTGGGGAGGTCGGGAGTAAATGAACCCCTTGCTTCTAACAGACTGAAACACCAAGTCCCAAACCTTACAAAGCTTTTGTGCATGCATGCCTCTTGCAGTCTTGCCGACCGAAACCCTGAAACCGCAAGAACGCTGAAACCGTCCTAGGTAAATTCAGCTTCCAGCCGTCGCAGAAGGCTTTCTGAGATTTGCTTCAAGGCTTCCGGGCTTTAGGCTTGCGTCCTTCTCGTCAGAAAGCCTCACGGATACTACTGGGCTGAGTGTCTTTGTTTCATCGGCTATGTTTTTCAGCTGTCGGAACGGCCATTGCAAATCGAATCCAAGTGCCTGGTTCGCTGCGAGCCGCGCCGTGCCGGCAGCTGCGTCGATCTCTCGCCGCAGTAAGTTGCACCTGATCGGGATGGCGAGGCGAATAAGTTCAGGCTTGCAGGAGCGAAGCCTTCGGGGTGTAGGGTTCTTCCCCCATTCCCCACGCTGAGCCTGTAGTGTTTAGAGTTCAGCCTTCTTTGCGGATCCGGTGTAAGGTTGAGGGTGCAGGGTTTGGCGCTAGGGCATAGGGTTCCGATCGATTTAAATCAAGGCCTGGGGTGCCCCTGAACCTTCAGATCCAAAGACTCGACGCCGCAGCGAGCGCCAGCCGTTGCCAGTCGGAAGATAAAGGAATCCTCAACCCAATGTAAGGGTCCCAAACCCTAAACGACTCTCTCTCTCTCTCTCTCGCTCTCCTCCCTCCTCTCTCTCTCAGACGCTCGTCAGCGTCAGGAAATCCGGAATCCTCTGGAGCCTCAACGGAAGAAAAGCCAAGACTTGCAACCGTCAACCCGTCAATCCTGAAGAGGCCCTTAGGGTAAACCCTATAAGCCCTATAGAACCCTATAGAACCCTATAGAACCCTATAGAACCCTATAGAACCCTTAAAGGCCCTAAACCCTAAATCCTTAAGATCTCTCCCCTCGAAAACCCGACTAAATCCCGATCAAACCCGAACCTCGGACCGACCCTTCGAGGCCCAGAACCTGAAAAAAACAAAAAGAGAAATCAATACCATTGGGCATAGGGGCCTTAATAATTAGAATCGTAGAAGATCAGGTTCCTAATTATTAGAGTAGGGTTTGGGGTATATTATACTATAGTTATAACAAGGAATAATACGCAAAAAAAGCCAGAGTCCAAGCTTCGAAAGCTACAGTAAGGCTCCAAGGCGAGGCACTCTGCCGCGAAGATGTGGAGCTGGTGCTTCACGGCCTCCATGAGACGCTCTCGATACCAACCTCGGGGTTCGGCCGGGTATAGGGTTTAGGGTTTAGGGTTTAGGGTTTAGGGTTTAGGGTCGCGGGGGACTATGGCTCTGGACTTTCGGCTCGTTCCTAGGGGATTATGGCTCTGGACTTTCTGCTCGTTCCGAGGATTTCATGGTTTGGGCGGGGTCCAAGGTTTGAGAGGTTTAGGGCATGCAAGTGTCAGAATTCAGGTCTTTGAGGGCTTCGGGCTCGATTCGAGGTTGTGGGCCGGGACCGAGTAACTGAGGTTGATAACGACTTAGGCCGTGGGTTCAGGGTGCAGGGTTCAGGGTTGAGGGGTTCGGCGCGAGGTTCAGGAGTATGAGTTTGGCATGGAGGTGTTCGTAGTTCAGCGGGCTCGGCATGCAAGGTCTGGAAACATCCGCAACTCCAAAGGCATGGTGTCGCTCTACACCTTTAGGGTTTGAACCTTACGGAGCGAGTCTGGATTCTGCCTCCTGGATTTCTGAGTTGCCGCATGAAGGCCTCAGCCAGCCAACCCATGTTGCGTTTCCTGCCCAGGTCTGAATTACTCCTCGGAGCATCCCTTTCTTTGTCCTTCAGGATCTAGGTGGTAACCCCTACTCTAAGTCACTGACTAGGCTTCTGCTTTCGTAGGAGGGAGCTGCTGTGGGCGAAACCCGGAAACCCGAATCCTCAGAAACTTTGAAACTCTCAACTCAAGAAAAACCAATGCCTGAAATGCAAGAATCTGGCAGAATCCCAGTCACTGCGATTGTCGTCCTTGCGCCACTTGGAGTGAACGTGTGCACAGGAGGCCTGTGAATCCGGCCCCAGGGTGGCGCTCAAGAGATACCTGAGACGAACCCATTGAATGGGTTTCGATGCCCGAAAAGCCTTGTGCGTTCAGGGTCCTGGGAATTTGGATGAAATCCTGGGATATCCCTGACCTTACAGAAGGCGTTCAGCAAAAGGGTTGCTGGTTAAAGCGCGGCTACGTTAAGGGTTCCAGTTGACTGGTGTAGGGGGCTCAGGGGGTGTTCACCTTGGAGCTCAAGGGTTTTGGGGCCGAGAACCGGGAGTTCGGCAAACCTCTGAAACCTAACCCCAAACCGCTACTCTTACAAGGATTCTTGGTGGCAGAGCCCTGATTCAAGGCAACCCCGGAGCTTGACGAGTTCCCTCCAAGTCTTGGCCGGAACCCAAAAACTGAATTCGAAGCCCAAAGACCCGGAATCCACGAGCCGAGCCGCTTTGCCAGCACCTTCGCGGGGCCTTCCAGAGGATCAGTCTGCAGCAGGTTGATGATCACGTGGACCCATCCTGGCGTCAATGAACAAAGGCCCTCCCTCTTGGTCTCAGACGGGTTTTGCGGTGGGGGGCTTCATCTTAAGGAACCTTTGCCTCCCTACCCTCTGTAGAGGGGGTCGCATAGGCAAGGCTTTCGAAGTCGCTGAAGCTTGACAAACCTAGGCCTCTCGGACAATCAAGGCATATGGGGGTTTCCGAAAATAGGGGACCCTAAGATAGTACCCCAAAATAATAGGATCCTTATTATAAGGACACCAAAATAAGGTACCCCTTATGTTCGGAAACTCCCACATGGTTGGAGGTCTGCTGTGTAGTGAAACAAAGCGGACCCTCACCTTACGGGGTTTGAGGTTCAGGTCTTCTTTCGTCTTCTTCTTCTTTGGAAGGGTCTTATTTTGGGGTTGCGGGGTTTGGCTTCTGGTTGAGGGTGACGAGTTCAGGGTTTTGGGTTCGGGTTCAGGGTTTGGGGTTTGGGTATGATGTACTTTCATATACTATAGTATACTATAATATACTATAATATACTATAATATACTATAATATACTAGGATATTCTATGGTATACTATAATATACTACTAATAGGCTATAACATGCTACAATGATCTATAATATACTATACAGGGTTTGAGGCTTTGAACTGGAAGGTCCAGGGTTGGGGCTTTCGGGCGCAAACGCGCGCCCGAGCATGCCACAAGGAGGGTGACAAGCCCAGAGCCTCGAAGAATCCTACCCAGAGAACCCAATACCCCTTAACTAAGGAATATACCTTAAATCATAATTTAACGGCCCCTATACATTTAAGGTGTATTCCTTAATTAAGGTGTATTGGGTTCTCTGGGTACACCGCAGAGCCGCAGAAAGGCCTGAAAAGATGCTCCAGACAGCGCCCCATCCTAAACTCCCACTGCATTACCCCCCAAGATGTGAGCCCCTGAAGCACCAAGAAGAGAACCGAAACCCTGACCCTAAAATCCGGGCTTCGAACTTTAAGCCCTACATACCACGCCCCGAAACCCCTCTGAAAGCAAGCCCGGGCCGCGATCGATGAAGTGTCTCAGCACCACGCGGCCCTCGAAGGCACCCTTAATCGCCAAGCGCGGATTGAAGAAGAGGCTCTCCTGATCTGAGCGGCGCTGGGCACCGGATTCTGTAGGGTTTAGTTTTTAGGGCTTAGGGTTTAGGGTTTAGGGTTTTAGGGTTTAGGGTTTCAGATTCCAGAGCTTTGACAAGCATCTTGGATCAATTAGGGTTCGATGCCGTGTTCAAAAAAACTGGGTGTTGAGGGCTTGAGGCTCCAAAACCACGTTTCAACAAGAGCCCCCTGCACCTGAATCTGTAAGGTTTAGGGTTCCGGTTGGTGCTATGAGGGCTTGGCTCACCTGCCTGAGGGCTGAGCCATACAAAATCGGGAAGCCAGGGAATCCGGCAAAGGACTGGCAAACCAACACGGAACGCATACGTGCACACGCAGCATCTTCTCTGCATATGTGTGTATGATCACAAGTCATACATATTGACTTGAAGCCGAGACATATGTGCATGCAGAATGGCATTGTGTGTCTGTGCACAGGTACATGTAGGCATGAACATCTGGGTGTGTCCGAAAATAGGGACCCTAATTTCGCACCCTAGATAGTAGGTTCCTTCTTATAAGGACCCCAAAATAAGGTACCCCTTGTTTTCGGAAACTCCCATCTGAATGAAGGAACTAGCAAAGTGCCGAGTGTCGTGCAAGCGCAATCGCTTTTCAAGCAGCTCCGTCGTCACCGGAGCACCAAGGCTATCCTCGGTGGCTTCAAACCCACCATGGGAGTTTCCGAAGATTAGGGTACCCTATTTGGGGGTCCTTATAATCAGGATCCTACTATTTAGGGTACTATATTAGGGTCCCCTATTTTCTGAAACCCCCCCCCATGAAACCCGAAGCCCCAAACACGAACCTAAACCCAAACCGGAACCATCTCTCGACTCGGGGTCGGCTCCAGCCCAGAGGGGAAACCCTGAACCTCCAAAGCCGAAGCCATCGCAGGGCCAGGCTCAAGAAAGCTTTCGATGCCGGTCTCGGCCCTTTCCAGGAGGTCGCCGGGGAAGGTCTCCGGCTTCAATAGATCTAGGCATTCCTCGGCTTTGGGACTGTAAGGTATTTTTTTAGTGTCTTTAGGGCTTTGAGCGTTTAGGGTCTTTGGGTCGTTTGGGGGCTGTTGGGTGCGTGCTTTTACGGGCATTAGGGTTTCCTTTAAGCTAAGCTCTTGAGGCTCTTTAGGCTGTTTGAACCTTCGGGCTTCGGGGGGGCTGAAGGCTTTGAAGATTTCGGGCTGAGGCATTACAGTTGAAGGCTACGGGTGCGTTGGGGCTTCTGTCTTCCTTGGCTCCGCTTTACAAGGATGCTTCGGAAGGAGGGCTCCCGGCTTGAGCTGGGGCCCAGGGTTCGGGGTGGTAGGATTTTGGGGTTTCGGGTTTAGGGTGTAGGGTTTAGGGTTTAGGGTTTCGGGCACCCGGATTTGCAGCTCGGGGCGTGAGGATGAGATGTCTCGGGCTATGGCCCGGGGCATTGGGATTCTGGAGGTGTTGAGTCGTGCTCCTTCACTGCATAAACCCTAAACCCTAAACCCTAAACCCTAAACCCTAAACCCTAAACCATGCCCAGAAGATCCCGGAACTCAACATCTGGAGCTGAATATAGGGACCTTCACGGAATAGGGCTCCGGAATTCTGGGACGAGGAACCGGAATTCAACATCTGGAGCTTAAATGTAGGGACCTTAATGGAATAGGGTTCCGGAATTCTGGGACGAGGAACCCCATAAAAAAACTTGCATATTCCGGCTCCTACTGTTGATGGACAAAATCCTGCATGACCCAAATATAGTATCGTATCTCAAATCCCATAGTTTAGGTATATAGGGTCATGCAGGATTTTGTCCATCAACCGTAGGATGAAAGAAACGGCCGAGACTCCCTCATGTCCTCCTCGCTGGCTTTATCCTTGGCCAGCACCACACGGCCCTGCTCCACGTGAAAGCACCTGCTCGCGGCTGCCAGGTCCCAGTATGCCAGGGCACCCGGATATGGTAAGTTTAAGAGGAATACTTTTTTAAACTCAGGCTCTGACCCTGTCCAAGCGAGAAGAACTTCCAATCCAAAATATTGGCTGTTTTTTGAGCCAACCAGCTGACACGCCGCCCGGACACCCTTTTTCTGCATCTTTTCGTTCTTGCTGCTTCGACATTTTGCTCTAGAGCGTGCGTTTTCCTCGGGTTGTTTAACATATCTTATATTTTTTGTTGTTCGTTCTTGGACTTTTGTTGATTTTCGCTTGCCATGTGGCAACCATGATAACGCCCACAAAGACTCCGTTATTTCCCACACAGCATCCATGTGGCAACCATGTTAACGTCCACAAAGACTCCGTCCGTTTTTGCAGAGCATCCTTGTGGCAACCATGATGACGTCCACAGAGACTCCGTTTTTGCCCACAAAGCATCCATGTGGCAACCATGTTAACGTCCCACAAAGACTCTCCGCTTTTGCAGAGCATACTTGTGGCAACCATGATAACGTCCACAAAGTCTCCGTCCGTTTTTGCAGAGCATCCATGTGGCAACCACGATAACGTCCACAAAGACTCCGTCCGTTTTTGCAGAGCATCCATGTGGCGACCATGATAACGTCCACAGTGGAGCTGGGCGTATGCTTTTCAGTGGCGCCACAACGTGTGCCTCAAGAGTTCCGTTGAAGAGGCGTTGCCTCGAGCGCCTTGGTGCTAGTGCAGAGTGGAACTGAGGTTCGTGCGCAGTCTGAAAGACTCCTCCCTACGTTTTTGACATATGGTCATGCCTTTTTGCCTGACTTCCCTAACCTCCCAAAATAGCTCTTAGGAGCCAGAATGCTGTAAAATACAGTGCTTTCGGGTTTGGGGGAATGTGACAAAGCGCAGGGCGGCAGGTCAGCCGCCTACCTTTGACAGTCACCTGATTTTCGATAAACCCCCGAAGTCCAGAAACGACCCTAAACCCAACATTAACACCCTACATCGAATGCTATGCATATCGACGTGTGCATACCCCAGGCTTCACACTCCAACACCTTCTATCAAGTACCAAAACCTGAACCTGTACACCTGAAGCCGAGATTCGAATCCTACGATCCTTAAACCCTTTGGTACACTGGGCTTTTTGTGGCTTGTCTCAAATGGAGGACCCGGCCTGGCTTCTCCGACCATCATCCAGGGACTGTAGCCCGCCTGGTCCACGGCGCTGGGGTCGGCGCCGAGATCGAGCAACGCCTCTGGAAAGCAACTTAAACTCGAGCAATGACTATCGTAGTCTCGGTCACCATCATCATCATGATACAAAGGGAAAACTCGAACAACGATAAAATGAATGACGCCAGTTAGGACTAACAACCAAATGCACCAACGCAACAGTAGCAACAGCGCGGACAAGCCTAAGAACAGCGGCAAGCGTTTCTGGCAGACAAACACAAACAGGAAGGCTCCGATATTCAGAAGTCGTGAAGTGGCAGGACTGTCCAGCTTTTCCTAGGTCTGACCGGAACCGACAGCTTGAAGGGAGGGGTACTCAGGTATTCAAAAAACTCAACCCCCTCAATTGACTCAAGCCCCAATATAGGAATCTGCCCCAATATAGGAATCTGCTTGAAAAGACTTTTTGCTCTAAGTCTACGAAGGGACCCTACGGGAAGAATTCAGGATCCCAACATGAAACCCTTTTCAACCCCCTCCTTGACCACGGCCGATTGGGCATAGCAGGCCGCATGGTGGAGCGGCGTGGCTCCACTGCTATCTCTCCTGGGCACAGATGTAAAATATGTAGTATATGTGTATATAAGATATAGATACAGCATATGGCATATGGTAAGAAGTATATGGTATATACGTACAGTGTAGGGTTCATCTTGTCAGGAAGCTTCAAAGCTTGAGCCCTCGCTGGCGCAGGGACCCCAGGGGCGGTGTTAGCGGTGGGCTCGGGAGTTGCGCAACCCCACATCTCTGACCAATGTCGGGTCCTGCATGCGCTACAATGGAGCCCGTTCGGTTTGGTGTTTTCCCAAAGTATCGCTGCTTAGACCCCCCAAAACCTGAAGCACAAGACCCTAAGCACACAAAGGACCCTGAACCCTCGTCGGTGCCCAGATCCGGCATGGTAGGATACGGAATCCCAAACCCGCAATCATCGCGACGGAGGTGCTGCTCCAAGCTCGCGCGGCAGGCCATCAGCGCCTGAGCACTTGCTTCTTTGGAAGCCCCCTTGTGGCTCACAGGCCAGCCAACGTTCGGTACTTGTCAGGATTTGTGTCCGGTTGTATGAGGCTTCGCAGGGTGTTTTATAGGGTTCGGGTCTTTTAACAGTGGTTGTTGAAGGGTTCCTGGCTGCCCATAAGCTCAAGCTTCGTAATAACTGCGAAGTTTGCAAGGATACTATGCAGGGCAACTCCTCCGCCGTTTCTGAGACTCCGGCGCCGACGCCGAAGCCGAAAGCGGAACTCACTTCAGTTCGCCTCCTACCGGAGAAAACCCTAAACCCTAAACCCTAAACCCTCATGGCCTGGATGGTCGGCACGTTTCCCGCGATGACCTGCAAAGGAGAGCCGGGATCCGAGCCATGGGGGGCCTCTCCACACGATTTCTTGGGGCTTCGGATTTGGGGTTTAGGGTTTAGGGCTTAGGCTGTAGGGTTTAGGGTTCAGGGTTTCGGGTTTAGGGTTTTTTTTTTAGGGTTCAGGGTTTCAGGGCTTAGGGATGCTTAGGGCTTTTGTTTTTTCACTGGGGGCTTGCTTTCAGGGTGTATGCTTTTGGTCTAAGGCGCAGAATTCAGGCTGGGGCTTCTCTGCTAGGCGGCTTCTTGGAGTCTCGGATTGCTGGATCCCAGAGACCCCAACACAAAGATCTAATGAGTTTAGGGTTTAGGGTTTAGGGCAGTCGTACTGTTCAGCAGCGTTCAGTGTCGCGCTTGCGGGACGACGCCCCACCGAAACCATACTAGTCTGCTCCTGCACAGACCCAGGCCTCCTGGTACCAGACACCACCACCAAACCCCAACCGCCTCACAAACCCGAAAACTCGGATCCACCAAAGCAACAAGAACAAATCCCCTCATGTGAGGCGGCGTGGCCATGTGCATCAGCGCAGTGTGGCCCTCGAGGCCAGGTGAGTTGGGGTCGGCTCGCTGCCCATTGTGGACGTACCTTGGGGGGGGCGCGTGATTGGGTTTTTGTACGTGTGAGAATCTACAGGTGTTTATAGGTTCGAGGGGCCTAAGGGTTTACATCGAGATCCGGCAGCTTCAATACAAACCCAAGCACCTCTGTACCCCCCCACCTTTTAGGGAGGCATACGGGGGTTTTGAGGGAAGATCCTGCCGCGCGGCCCGTCGTCGTAGAGCCCTCTGCACCTTTGGGGGATGGGAGGCTTGTAAGGTTCTGGGCATGAAACAAGTTAGTTCAGGGAGTTTGACAAGTTGAGGTCCTCGCATCTAGGAGGAGTTTAGGGCTTGGGGCAGTCAGCGCTTCTATCTGGAGGACCTAAACATCACGGCATTCCGCATCTCATTCCGTTATTCTGATGTAAAGATTCCTCTTTGATAAACATGGGTTTTTGTGCTATGACGTTAAGGACTCCTCCTGTCTTCCAAAACAAGGGAGCTGGAATGCGTTCTCCAGGCTCGGCCCAGGCGCAGCCGCTGGGCCCCGGCGGGGCTCAGGGATCCGCCAATCATAGGCGAAGCAAAGAGCCTCCAACGGAGAAAGAGGGGGTTGTTTGGATTCAGGGCTTTTGTCCATCCGCTGCGCCGACTAGGACTTCAGGTTGCGGGTTTAGGGTTTTTGGTTCAGTGCAGGTGTTTCAGGCTTTGAACTGGGTGGGGCTGGGGCTTCCTGTAAGGGTTCAACGGCTCCTGCACATGTCCTGTGGGCATTCTGCGGAGGCTGCGTGAGGGGTTTTGGGTTGAGGGAGCGGGAGGCTAAGGGTGAAGGTTCAGGTTTTCAAAGGGTTTTCGGGCATAGGTCTGCCAAGGTTTCAGGGTGTGCTTCGAGGTCTCAGGAACTTGTTCATACATAGATTTGGTGGGTCTTCAAGGAACTTTTCAAGGAACTTGTTGATACTTAGACATTCGGGGTTGTCAAGGGGTTTAGGGATCAGGCTTAAGGGTGTTTTCTATGGCCTTAGAATTTAGATATGGTTTCAGGCTGTAAGGGTCTATAACTTAGTGTTTAAGGTTTTGGGGTTCAGTGTTTCGAGGCTTCAAGGCTTTAGGGCTCGGAGCCTTCGTCGAACGTGCGGCATAAAAGCTTCAGGTGACTGAATTTTCTTTCGAAACACGACTGAGGAACCCCAGTTTTTCGGGCTCACATTGCGATAAATCCTAAACACTAAACTTTAAACCCTAGACCCTAAACCCTAGACCCTAAGCCCATTCTTCATTCTGAGGGCTCCGGCTCAGCCCTGCTCCTCCTCCCTGGGCCTCATCTGCGCGCTGGCCGCATGGCTGTAGGGATCCAGGGCCTGGTGGGTCGGGGCTCTGGGAATTTGTGAGTTTCCGGAAATTAGGGGTGCCTTATTTGGGGGTCCTTATAGTAAGGATCCTACTATTTAGGGTGCTATATTAGGGTCCCCTATTCTTGGAAACCCGCATTTGGAGCCTCGGGAGTTTGGAATGCAGGAATGTATGCTTCTGAAAGCCTCAACAGCACCTTCTTTTGGGTGTTGGGGCTTAGGGTTTTGGGGGAGGCCTCGAGGACTCAGCGAAATCGAATTCCGAGCATCAGCAACCGGAAAAAAATCATCAGAGCTGTTCAGAAGTCGGCCAGCTAAGGTTTTCCCCAATATTCCTATGGAATTCAGGTAGAGCTGCTACAGAACCCTGATAAAGCGCCCGTCTTAGAATGCCTCAGCGGATGTAGAACAAAGCCCGAGACTCTTCCCACCTCCCTACGGAAAGCTGAGAACACCTGGCAACTCGAAAACCGGGCTGATGGTTCCGGGTGAGATTGTAAAGAGATTCTGGGGACCGAATAAGGGGTCTCTTGTGACTAAGTCTTGAATCCTCCGTGGTATGTCACGGAACCCTTTGTCTCGCAAACCTCTCAAGCCCCAAACGCCGATGCCTCGATGGTCTCAGCGAGGGGATTCCCATAGAAGCGGCGCAGCTCCGAGAGCATGATGCCCTCTCAAGGAGGCTCCCCCTTCTGGTTTAAGAAGGCTTGCAGGGCTTCAGGTTTGGGGGAGATGTCTGCGGAGCCTGTCCTTACCCTGCGTTGTCAAGGTTTTCGTCTAGATCGTGCTATAGTACTGGTCACTTTGCCAGAAACTGAATACACTGGCAAGGCAAAGCATGTAGAAGCATAATGAACCGATGGCACGCACCGCAAAAGCAAGACAGCTAAAGCACGAGAACATCCTCATCAGCACTCATGCAGTAGTTGTGTATGTGGACTGGTCCCGAATCTACAGAACCGAGCGCTTTGATGTCACACTATTGGGCCCCCGTGCAAAGATCGATAAGACACGACACCCCAGATTCCAAATCCTGAAACCTAAATGGATGTGAGCCCCGCTCTCCCAAAGCGGCAAGCCCTTAAACGCGAAGACCCATAGAACCTGTAAGAGAGATCCTGGGCTTTGAACCCCCTGGAACCCTACCAGACCTCTGCGTTCTCGCCTGCCGCCCACCTCCACGTGTGGATGTCTCTCGACTCAAGATTTTTGTCCCTCTCGCATGGCTGGGATCTATGCACACTTGCGACGCTTCTTGCAGCCCACACTACGAACATCACAACATTCGACCTAAGATTGAGTTACGGGTGAGTTTGGGGATCAGGACGTTTAGATCCCGCCTTGCAGCATAGATATCTATAACACAAAACGAAGTACTGCTACTGCTGCTCGAGAACCCATCACTGAGAAAGTCGGGGGCCCCGGAGGATACCCAACAAATCCGCCTCTATAGACTCTAGAGTCGAAGGGTCTTTCCTGCTTCAGGGGTATATACGAGAATCAGACAACTCATGCAAGGCACTGAAACACGTCGCCAAGGTTGACGTGCTTCTGCAGAGCTTCGAGGCCTCCGAGTGAGGTGCTTCGGGTTTAAGGTTTAGGGTTTAGGATCTAAGGGTTTAGGGGTTTAGGGTTTGGGGTTGGGTGTCGGAAGTGCGGAACCTGAAACCTCCCGAAACCCGGCTTAACCCTCAAAGCCCAAACATCCCTAAAGCCTGAAATTTCCAGTCTGAGATCGAAACCCCAACCGAAGGCGAGGAGCCATACTCGTTCTGAGCCCTCGCCGCGAAGCGGAGAGGGAGCAACCGGCCCGTGAACATCCTTAGTGGAGGGTTTGGGGTCTTGGGGTTGGGGTTGGGGGTTTAAGGTTGAGGGTTGGTAGGTCAAATCAAGCACCCTTAAACGTTACACCCCCGGCAAGAAGAGTCTGGGACCCTCGATTCTGAACAGTACAATAACTCGTAATCTTTGTAACCCTGAACCCAACCGGAGAAAAAGGCATAGAACCCTAACCGAACCGCAAGCCCTGAACGCGATGTCCTTAAGTCCGAAGCGCTTAGACCTCACACCCATGTCACCCCAAAGGAGATTTCTAAAAGCCTATCGTTCTCCCGTCATTGCGGCCCTGCTTCTGGCCACATTCCCTGTGGACATCGGCCTGGCCGAAGTGCGCGGCACACCGAACATCTCAATACCCCGGGTTTAGGGTTTAGGGTTTAGGGTTTAGGGTTTAGGGCTGAATAACAGGGGTTAGGCGGTGGAGGGGGATACTCGGGTGCACCGGCTTTGTTCTTGGTGAGCACGGCTGGGTGAAAGGCTCGGAACTCCATGTTTAGGCGCATAAGAGTCTTGGATTTCAGACTTTAAGGTTAGCCTTCATCTAGAAGCGGAAAGTGGCAAGTCGAAGGTGTAGAATGCGAAGCCGCAAACCCCGCACAACTCAAAGCTCCGGGATCGATGACGTCTACCGAATGCGTGTCCAAGCCTGGACTGTAAAGCAACACATGACCACTGCTCATGGTGCTAAGGGCAAACCCACAACCCCGAAGAACCTTAGGCAAAAAGCAATGAGCCTCTGACTGTGAGCCAAGTAGGGCTTCATACAAAGGCCGACATAATAAGACTACCTGCGCTCATTCAGACCCCTCTGTGACGTTCATGAGTTCATGGGGCTTGATCCCTCAGACCCCAAAACCCACACACCCTCTCTAAACTCAACCCTAAACCCTAAACCCTAAACCTCTAAACTCAAGGCAGCCTTCGCGAGGATTAGGAGCTCCATGGCCGTGGCCACCAGGGGTCCGTTGGCACACCTCAGCGCTTGTCGGGAGGGCTTGGAAAGAACATCTGCTCTCGGGTTCAGGAAGTTAGGGCTTTGCGCTTGAGAGCTCGGAGTTGCAACTCTCTGGTTCCATAGCTTGGGGCCTATTTTAAGGCTCATTCAGGCCGAAAGCCATAACTAGCAGCCCTCTCTTGACCTTTGAGCCGTAGTCGTACCTCCCCCAGCCAAAAGCCCCTCACCTGTAATCCAGAACCACCACCCAAGATCCAAAACTCTAAACCCCCAAGCCCTAAACCTTAAACCCCAAGCCGTGGCGCGCCGGGGTCATAGCTAGGAAAATCAGCGGCGTGTAGTTGTTGAAGGAAGGACTCGCCTTTTGTAGGATTTGGGGTGTAGGGTGGAGGTAGGTTGTAGGGTTTAGGGTTTTTTGCCTCCTACTTAGCAAGGACGAGCCCGGCATTAGGGCTTAGGGTTGAGGGTGTAGTTTTTTCCTCTCGCGTGGCTAAGAACGATGCTCACAAGCGAGGTTTGCTTGGAAATCACTCAGGCTAGAATGTCTTGCATGCTTGCCAAGCAAAACTATCCCGACCCGAAACAAACCAAGATACTAAGAAATGAGGCGCTGTAGTTTGGCTGTAGGGCTTATGAAATTGGGCCTTTGGGGGTTAGGGTGATATTCTGCAATGGATGTTGTGGCTTAGGGCTGAAGCAGGATAGGGGGTAGGAGTTTAAGGTTTCTTTGGCACTGCGCTCGAACACGTCAGGCGAGAATGAGGCGCAGGGTTTAGGGTTTACGGTTTTGGGGCGTCCAGGGCTCATGGTTTACGAAAGAGGGAGCGACTGCGCCTGTAATTTCAGCTGCAAATTTTCAGCCGCGAGGCCTCTGAATGAAGTTTTACGCTCAACATCTCCACTCTCAAGCCCTAAACTGAGATCTGACATTTGTAACACTACAACCTTGAAGACGCCAAGACCCCCAGTCTAGGCACAAAATCCGCACATTCCCGAATTAACAGAGAGACCCGAAATTCCCAACCGCCAAAACCGTCCCAAAACCCTAACTAAACCCTAAACCCTAAACCCTAAACCCAAAACCCTAAACCCATCTTCAAATTCCCCAAGCTACGGAAGCTGCGGGGCCGAGGTGCCAGGCCGGCGTTGGGATCGGCTTTGGATGCTAAGGCCGAGCGGACGTCCTGCACGATGCCTGCTGACTTTCAGGTTCCCCTGCTCTTTTCGGATTCCGGGTTTACACTCTCACAACTCGGACAAGCCAGGCGAGGATCCATGTGTGCGCAGTCGGTGTGAAAAGTCCGGGTTCAGGGTTTAGGGTTGAGGGCTTCGGTTGCGGAATCTGGGATTTAGGGACTTCGTACGTTGTGTTTCACACGCGACATGTAAATGCAGTGCTGCGGTTCGACTTCAGCTGCAGCTGGAAGATCTATGCACAGGATGCGGTTACGCTCAGGGCAGCGCATTGGAGCTCGCACCGGTCGTCCCTGAAGAAAACTTGCGATGTCGAAGATCCTCAGGACCGCTGATCCCACCTGTGATCTTCATCCTGCTGGCGGATCAGATCCCGCCCCCCAAACCCTAAACCTGCAGGCAAAGCCGACAACATGCTCTGAGCATAATCGTGGTCGATGATGCCTGCAGGTTGACCAGCCTCACCCTGCAGCCTGAGCCCAGCCAGCCCAGCCCAGCTTAGCCCAACTCACCCCAGCCGGCCACGTGGGCTTGGATGGTCCGACAACTCCAAGGAGGTCGGAAAAATAGATTCCAATGCTCGTGAAGGGCCTGCCGACCTCAAACCCGAAACCCTGAACCCCGATCACTCCAAAGCTCAACCAGCACTCGAATCCCTGACTGTTGAACCCCCGGATCCCATGAGCCCTAATTATTACCTAGTCCCCCTGCTTGGCGGTGAGCTGCTTGGGTTCTTGTGCCCCTTTGAACACATCTCCAGCAGCCGAACAGAGGGTTGGAAGTCGTAGCCGTCGAAGAGCCAGACCTCCGAGTCTCCAGAAGCGAAGGGCCGGGTTGCTTCGGGTCTTCGGATCCCACAGGAACTTCAGAGGCTTATTAGGATCTTCAGAGTTTAGGATCTCAGAGCTTAGGGCTCCGACCGTAGGGTGTAAGATTTGTGGGATCTTGCGATCGCAGGGTCCGCCTGGGTCCTCGGACAACAGAACCCCGAATGCCAAAACACTCATGCTTTAACCCCTAGAGCCCTGAAACAAAAAAGTCGATCCGGCAATGGATATATGATATATGCGTATAACTTATTTTGCCAAAGGGTTGTGCTACATAAAAGGGACTGAGGCCGGGTTGCATGCTTCACCTTCCGGCGGAGCTCTGCTTTCCGACTACCGAGGATCCGCTGCACCGCCACCTTTTGCTTGCGGGTTTAGGGTTTAGGCTGTTTGGGGCTTTGAGGGTCTAGAGTTCTGAAGACTCTAGTGGAAGCTTGAATTTGTTGAGGCTCTTGATTGGGCGTTCTTCTTCTGCATGCGGGCATGTGTTCTGCATTGTTACACTCGTTGTTCTTTTTGTCGCATTTTTCCCCCCTTGTTGGGTTTGATGAAGGCCTCGGCCAGGAAAGGAACCAAAGAAATGCTAAACGAAACTTGTCAGGCCCTTGAAATTGACAGCCCCAAGAGAAACATGCGAACCTGCCAACAGCACCCTGTGGATAGCTTGTCCCTCTAAACCCTAAACCCCTACTACCGGGCCCTTGCGTCCACCTTGCAGCGAATCTCTCCAAAGGCTGTCGTCAGCTCCTTGGCATATTCCTGCCACTCGGAGAGGCTGATTCCTGGGCTCCGGCTTGACAGCAGCTTGGCGGTTTAGGGTACTCTGCAATATTGCTGACGATGCCAAGCCCCGAAACCATGAACAAATGGTTTCAAAACCGCCTCAACCCAACAGAGGCCCACTGGCAAAGTTCCGGGTTACAGTGGTATGTTGAGGGTCTTGTTCCTGGGGGACCGTTCGGGCCTAGGGTTAGGGCTTCACGGCTTTTTGGATGAAAGGGCTCAAGGATTTGGAGCAATTCACCCCTGGGCACACACAACTTCTCAAACCCGGACTTGCAAGCAGACCCTGAACCCCCGAAATTTCTGAACAATCGTCTTCAAAGCCTCACCACCACCGACATCTTCAGCCAGAGATTAGATGCCCAGGCGCTACCCTCCATGTTGATGTCAGCATCATCGAAGTCGAAGCCGAAGCGGCCAAGGAAGCCGCCCATGGCCTTTCAAGGTCAGATCTGTTCAGGGTCAAGGAGCTGGGGGCCTGGGCTTACTCCCTGAAGTGCACCCGGTTGGGGCAACCCCAGCTACCCTCAACCCTAAACCCGAGACCGCACCTAGAAGTGTCCTGGCATGCCGCGCTTTTGGTAGTCGTGGCTGGTCAATAAAAACTGTCCTAGAGTGCTTGTGGTCGGTTGCACACTGTACCTGTGGATGGGGTGGTCAACCGACTTATGGGTCTCACCGCACTGGCGTCACGGGGTTTGTCGTCGGTCGGAGAAAACGTGCTCAAACTATTCTGTCCGGGAATGGCTTACTCCCTGAAGTGCACCCGGTTGCCCTAGCCAAACTCCCTCGACCCTAAACCGCGACCTCAAAAGCCTAAAACCCACACATTCCCCGACACCTAAATCCAGAACCCTGAACCCTCAAGCCCTTTGTGAAACCGGCGATGCACCTCTGCTGAATCTTCAACAAAGCATTACTTATTACAAGTCGCGACTGGAAAATAAGTCATACAACCACAGAGTTTAGGCTTTGGAGGTTTCGGTGCAGTGGTCCCTAAGGCTTCGGGCCGTCAGGGCTTCGGGGTTTCACTTTACGGCCCTTACGGCTCTCAAGGTCCGAAAAAACCCTCTTTTGAACCCCGGCTCGGATCCTGTTCAGCTCGGGGAAGTCGGCCCTTAAACCGTATAAGCCCCAACCCCTGAACACTAAGGCCACTAAGGTTTAGGGCTTTTTCCCATAGGGTAGAAGGGTTAGGGTTTAGGGTTTACGGCCCATGATTGGGGTTTCAGCACTCACTCTCGGACATGCCTAGGCGTAGGGTTTAGGGTGTAGGGCTTTGGGGGTTTACGGTTCAGGCAACCCCAGGCCTGTTCGAAGCGAAAGCTCAACGCTGCGAACTCCGCGGGCCAAAGGTAGCCGCAGGCCTAGGGCAGCATCTCTTTTGGGTTTCTGTGGTTCCTTGGCTTTTCAAACTTTTCAAATTTATAGCAAACATATTTTTTATCTCTTGAAATAAGTTTTGCTTTTCATGGGGTCTTTTTCCCAGAGGGTCTGCGGAGCAATGGTGTAGTTCAGGGGTTCCGTGTTTCGTCTCTCACGGCTCGCACAAGGCAGGCAAGGATCCAGATGTCGGGTAACACTACACAGAAACAAGGCGTATGACAACCACCAGACAATACCACAGGCATGCCATATACCAAAGCGACAGGTCGCGCCAGAAGTAGCCCAGCGCAGTTAAGAAAGAACTCATAAATACGCAAAGGTTTAAGAGTGTGGGGGTTAGTGGTTGGGAGCTTGGGCGTTTCGGGGGTTTGGGCTTTAGGGCTTCACGGTTTTGAGGGTTTCGACTCACACACTCGNNTGGCATGGCAAGAGAAGGTCCCGAGCTTGCTACATGTACATGTCCGCTTGTCGACGAGTTCAATAGCCCGAAGTGCCCAGTAACAGCAAGACACAGATAAACACAATGTCGAACACATAAAACAGGCAGGGCATATCAAAGACGTCGACATACAGTCCATCAGAACGGGTCTATTGCGACCACATTCCTTTGTCGCACATACAGCGTACAGAACCACTGTTTCAAAACGTTCCCTGTTCTATCCGTTGCTTCATTCACTGAGACCAACGTAACAATCTCACGTCCATTCTTCTCTTCCGTGCTCGAAGAATTCATCGTTGTGCTGAAGGACTTGCAAAACACGCAGTGTCGGCAGACTCTTCACATTCCTCAATGGGCATGCAGAGCGATGTCCATTCTTCTCTTCCGTGCACGTAGAATTCGTCGTTGTGCTGGAGGACTTGCAAAACACGCAGTGTCGACAGACTCTTCACGTTCTCCTTAAGAAGCATGCTGAGCGATTAACAGATATAGCCAATTCTGCAGTCGCGCCTGATTTATCCAAATTCATCGTGCAGCAAGAATTCGTGTTGCTGATCCCATGCAGTGATCTCATTTTGAGGGTTTAAGGTATCCAAGTCTTTGTCTTCGTCATGCTATGTCATCTTTGATTTTTGCACACGCTTTAAGCCCCGAGATCCCTTTAGCAGCTGCACGTGCGACTCCCTAGGTGTTGCGGATGCTTTGAATACCTTTTCTTTTATGAAGTCCGGCTTCAGCATGGTCTTTGTCAAAACAATGCCTGGAAAGACGTTTAGGAAGGGAAGCTTCTGCACGTTGCGGAAGCGTCTTCATTGCCAGGGCTCTGGTGGCTTTGAGATCAGGACAGGACATGATCGCGGTTCAGGGCTTGTCGTGCGAAGCATAAGGCATAAGGTGTGGGATTTAACATGAAAGTCTCAATCTTTTGCTTTGGGATGCTTCGGCCTGTCCATTGCCACTATCATTCGTAATTACCAGCGCACCTGCCAGTCTTCACATGTTGCCCTTGCTGCGCAGTGTGCCACGAGCTGCAATCGGAAACCCGGCTTTCTGGCAGGAGCAAGAACAGCGAACAGGTAAGAGTAGCGACAGCAAAACCCGCACAAAAACGCAGCACAATGCAGCTGACAAAGGGGCACCTTGAATGATCAGAAGTCGCTAAGCTTCGGCATTTCACAGCACTGGATGGCAATAAAAATGACCATAGCAGCTGACGGCACATATTGGAGTTTCTGGGTGGGTTCATGCCGACGGTGGTGCTCTACAGGAGTCTCCATCTCCCCTTCCCATCGGTATGGAAGCTTAACCTAGGGCTTACTTAAGGTACCACGGTTGGACCCAAATAGCTTGTGCACTCGTATTGCGCTATACCGATTCTACCGGTCCCCGAGACGTGTTAGGACTGGCCCTTGTAACATTCGACGATGCTTGCACCACAGCACCACTGCCAGAACAGGACGATGAGTGGCAAAGTGAAGTCACAAGGAAGTGATGCAAAAGACCTTGCACCAGGTGATAGCACAAGCGGTGGCAACATAAGCAACAGTACCAGAGCAACTGCTATAGTCATGACATCATCAACATCAACACTAGCAGCAACAGCAACGACGACGGCAATGACTGGCAAAGATAGTTGCCACGGTAACACTAGCTCAGAAACCACAAACGCAGTGACAAAACCGACCGATGGCAACAGAACACTGACAATAATAGTAACATGAGGGGTGGTCGCGATTGGAGCTGTTGTCTCATCCTTGTCGCTGCAAAGATAAGAGTTTTAAAGCCACAACAACAACTAAATCTGCCAACCGCATGTCCTAATGACGATAACGGGTCCTTTATGTCTCGTCGTGCACGATGTGCCGCACAATCACCCCCAAACCCGTAAAAATAAGCAAACAAGACACACGCACACACACACACACCTGAACCAACAAAGACCGGATGCCGCCCCATCGAACTCCTCGAAGATCCTCTTGGTCCAGGCATCGTTCTTCAGCATCTGTCGACCCACGTGCTCCGCAGCGTCCCAGTCCATCTGACACTCATGCCTCTGCTGCGGTTTGCGACTGCGGGGGATTTACAACGCCCTGGGAACGGTGGAAAAACGACTTCAAAGGCTGTGTCCGCTTGCCCACGTGAGAAGAGAGCCTAACCCTGAGGCAAGCATGCAGAAACAGAAGGTAAAAAACTCGATTTGTGAAGACTAAAGCCCACTGCCGCTACAGTCCGTAAAGTTTCGGCTTCTCCGCTGCCCCAAAGCCTTTTTGTTGAGCAGGGACTGCAATGCACTAAGCCTAAACCCCTAAACCCCGCTCATGCCCGGCCTCTGGGGGCTCTTGGGGTCACTCTCCTGGGCTTGTGCCACCGACGCCTGGGGCTGTCGGTGCCGGAGGGCCCCCTTCGCCAGCGAGGGCAAGGGCTCCACCTGCAAGGAAGGAACCCAGAGACTCCAAAACCCCTTAATTAAGGAATATACCTTAGATTATACTAGGGTTCCTAGTATAATTTGAGGTATATTCCTTAAGTAAGGGGTTTTGGAGTCTCTGGGAAAGCAGGGGCGCAGGGTTCAAGGCTGAGCGTTCTCTTAAAAAGGCTTGACAGTTTAGCAGGAATCCAGGTTTGGGTAATCCCAAAATGGAACTACTATGGGGCCTATGGGAAACCTAATGCTGAGAGCTTCACAGTTTGCTGCAGGATTTCGCTGGGTCCTCTCGAGTTTTGGGCTGTGGGTTCGTCTCTGAGTGGATCGGCTTTGACAGAGCTTGATTGCAAATGTTTCAGTAGATTGCATGGGGCCCGAAAACCCTGAGCCCCAAACCGCAAACCCTCAAGCCTACACCCGATACCGTAACCAGCCTAAACCCTTTTGTTGAGCAGGGACTGCAATGCACTAAGCAGCCTAAACCCTAAACCCCTAAAACTCAGGATAAAACCAACGAGTACTTACATTTACCAAGATCTTTTCGTGGGGCCCCGATAAATTCCATATCAAGGTTTGCAATAAGAGCCTACAAAACAAGTAGGTTCTGTTGTGTTACGGTAGGGAATCGTATCGTTGACCTACAGACCCCTAAAGTACCCGCTAGGTTCACGCAAACCTCTGAAGATGTTGTTGACAGCTTTGGGGGTTCGGGTGTGGAACGGAGCTCCCCGAAATTCCACAATCCAGGATATCGAGAACGAGCATAAATCATGGTCTGTCACCATGGTCGACTAAAAGGCAAAGACCCTAATTAAGCATGACGATCCTTGAATGCATGTTTCGCCTCCAGTCGCGCCAGGCTCCGCCGCACTGCGCGGACGGAACCGGGGGTAACAGCGCGCCGTTCCCGGTCCTGTCGTAGGGTTTGGCGTTGTAGGGTTAGGGGTTTGTTTGAGTTTGAGGATTTATGCTCACTCCTGGACTCGCTAGATGAAGTTCACCGTGCTTGAGCGGCTCGGCTAGAAGGGCAGCACAATAGCTCATCAGAACAAGCCCGTAACTCCGTAGACCCATTTCTTGCTCCTGCACGTGTTGTGCCGGAAAGGCTGTGCTAATCTGACTGCGCGACCTAAAGCTCTGAATTAGGGGCGCCCCTTGAGGTCTTGTAGACAAGGCTCCAGACACAACGTCTTGTAAACTCAAGACCCGAAAGCCCTTTCAGCTCCTACATTTCCCCAACTCAACCCTTCCCATCCTTCCGCACGCTCCGCGAAGCCCAGCCCAGGGTTCCGGCACTCTGCTCTCGGACGAGGGGGCTCCTTCTTCAGGGGGGCTTCCCAAAAGCAGAAAAGTAGCCCAAAACCAAAAAATGCATGTAATTGTGTGTGTGTGTATTATATTTATATATATTTTTCTGTGTGTGTATACATGTTTTTTAATACATGTGTTACATACATACATACATACATACACATATATATATATATGTATGATTATGTATGTATACACCCATGCACCCTCTTTGGTGCTGCTACCACCACCACCACCACCACCACCACCACCGCTACCACTACCACTACCCCTACTCCTGTCGCTACCGCTACCGCTACCGCTGCCGCCACTGCTACCACTACCGCTATACCGCTACCGCCAGCACCGCCAAAATCACTACACGAGGACGATAAGTACCAGTAACCAGTACTACTACCGCTACTAATACCACTACCACCACCACCACCACCACCACCACCACCACCGGACGACGACTCTCGTGCTGCCGCTGCTGCTGCTACTACTACTACTACTACTACTACTACTACTACTGCTACTACTACTTCTACTTACTCTACGACGACGAAAACGACGACGACGGCGACGACCACCACCACTACCACACTACTACTGCTGCTACTGCTGCTGCTGCTGCGCAATGCAAAAGCTAAACCTGAAGCTACTCTTGCTGGTTTTTCTCGCAACACAAACAGCAAGACTTTCTGTGTCTCTCATTCGCGAGGTGAACATCATATTAAGTAGGCCTTCAGCGCAGGCATCCCTAGTCTCCAGAAGCACTCATCAGAACCTGCAACAAAGCCTCATGGGGATCCCCTTTCCTTGCGGGCTGCAGATGCAGATCCTGAAAACCTGATAATAAACGTACAAACGGTCATCCTTTGACAATGATTTAACACTACAATCATCTTAAGGCAGGTGGCTGTAATCCTTATAAAGAAGGTGGGTCTACATCCCTAAACCCTAAACCC